CAAATATATGAAGAAATGTCCAAGTTGATTAGCCGTTAGAGAAATACAGATCAAAACAATAATGAGATATCATCTCACACCAGCATTAACAGTGTATTAAAAAAAACACACAAACAAAAAACAAATGCTGATGAGTGTGTAGAAAGATTGGAACCCTCTAACATTGCTGGTGGGATTGTAAAATGGTTCAACCATTCTGTACAATGGTATGGCATTTCCTCAGAGATTTGGAAGTAGAAATACCTTATGACCCAGCAATCCCTCTATTTGGTATACACACACACACACACACACACACACACACACACACACGGTGTAGCACTGTGGGCTAATGTGTCAGACTGTAAAGTCATTTGAACTGCAAAGTCAGTGGTTCTAGCTCACCAGCTGCTCCTTGGAAACCCTATATGGGTTGCTATGTGTCGAAATTGACTCAACGGCACTTAACGGCAACAACAAGAAATATGAGCCATGTCATGAGTTTGATATATGTACCCAGTGTTCATCACAGCACCATTCACGGTAGCAAAACGATGGAGAAAAACTAAGTGTCCATCAATGGAAGAAAGAATAAACAGACAACTCTGGTACATGCACATTATGTAATAATGCTATGTAACCTTAGAGAATAGCAATGAATCTGAAAAACATCTCAGAGGATGGACGAACCTCGAGGGCATTATGCTGAGTGGAATTAGTTCATCACAAAAGGACAAACATTGTATGAGATCACTATTATAAAAGCTTACAGAAAGGTTTCCATACTAATAGGTTTCTTTGATGGTTTGGAGAGAGGAAAGAGTAATTCACTGACTAGAGGGTAGACACATGTTAGCTCGGGTGACAGGAAAGACAAAATACAAGGAGGAAGTGTGGGCGGTACACAAGAAGGAGGGTGACAGATGAACAATGAAGATTGGGGAAGATTTAGGGATCTATGCAGGGGTTAAATGGAATAGAAGTAAATAGTGCTTTATATGCAACCTTGGAACAACAGTGTTCTGTGAGTAGATACATGGGTTGGGACATAGGCTAAATGCATAAAGAAGGGGGAAAATATTTATGTGCCTTATTGTCTTGAGGAAATTTACTTCTCCTGCTTAATATTTTTAAATAGCCATTTATGTGTGATAGAAATGAATATTGGGAATTATGATAACAAAATGCTTGTAAGCCTGTCTTCAGCCTATAACTGATTGGATTTACTAAAAGAGGAATTAGAATTTGTCCAGGCAAATAAGTGTTTTGCAAAGCCTTTGTATGGTATAGGGCCTTAGGTGGAATCCTGAGCACTACTCAGAACCTTTTGAGTTGACA